GACTCTATACCTTCTTCTTATTCTAAAAAAGCTAAGAAATTCCTAAGTAGGACGCCGTTTTTATTTTTATATGCCAGCTGATAAATGCGTGACTTTTATGAATTATGTCTCAGATGAGCAACAAATATTTCTGTCAAAAATTCGAGATACATTCATAAAATATGACTTTGATCTAAATTAGAAATATAAAAATATATCTCAGTTGAACCGACTATACGATTCAGAATTATATCCCTTTGGAGTCCAATTAGTGACCAATTATTATTTTATTAATAGTCCAAAATAGTTAGTTACTTTTATATTCTTTCAACAATTTGATAATAGATATACGGTAGATATAGTCTTTTAATGTAAGATAGAAAACGGTAGACTTTTTCTTTTATCTTTTTATCCTTTTTTCACTTTTTTACTCAATTGTTTGTATTGCTTAGTTAAAGCTGTCGACGACATATTTCTAATCAATCAGCCTACACCTCTTTGCATCTTTTCTTTTTTTCTATTCTGTTTCGTTAGAGAACTATAGTACGTCTACATTATGACGAATAGTATATAGAAAGAGGAAAAAAAAAAGTGAAAATGTTTTGATGAAAAGAAGAATTTTTTTAAAAAACGGTAAGAAACAAGTATATAGTTAGTTCATTTTCTATTATGTTAAGAAAATTATCATCTCTACATGCACATATGCTGTCTTTAAAAGAAAAACGATACACATCGTGAATATAAACCGGTAAAATAGAATTCTTTATATTAATTTTTAACATGCTAATGTTTGATCCTTTACGACAATAAGTTATACATCACGCTAGAACGTAGTAGTTTAAATATAAAGCACGATAATGTTTAATATTACAAAAACGAGAATTATTGAGACATTTCCCTTTAAGTTTTTTTTTTGTGTGTTTTTTTCTTTTGTCATATTTTATAATGATGCCTCACATTTAAATTAATTTGATTTTAGTGTGTTTCTAAAGAAAGAGTGGCAGCAATCTAAAAATAAAAAATTTTTCAGTTTACTGATCTTGACATTGTACTGGTGAATAAAAAATAGTCACATTGTAAAACGTAGTCCAAAAATAATGAGTCTCTCTCAGTATTTTGACTATTACATTTTCACCTTTTTGTTTTAGAAATTTAGTTTTTCAGTTAAAAAATGTGCTATTTGATTCTCCAGGAAACACATATTGAACATTCTTTTACATACTTTAAAAATAAAACGATATGGAGGAAATACTTCAAAGTTTCTATCTTTATTACTTTTCAAGCAAAAAGACAACACAAAAGGATTGACAGTACTATCATCGCACAATGCTATTCATCCGAATGTAATCAAAGAATATTCTCTTATACGTTTTTTTTCGCGCATCATAGATTCGCTATAAATGTATTTTCTTACATAAAAAACGATTTTATTAAAATGTATCGAAAGTAGGGAAATTTTTGAGTTTTTCGCTTTTACAGATGAAATGAAATGGAATTATTGAACTTTTTTTGTTCAAAACTAATAGAAGATTTATTCTACTTTAAGATAAAACAAATCCGATTTGAAAATGCTTGATTTTTTGATTGAGCTATAAAAATTTTCTAAGTGTACTCCAAAACTGCACTTTAAAAAACAATAAAAAGAAAAATAATTCTTTCTCAACCACTTGTAATTACGAAGAGTTTAAAATTTAATAAATTGAGACGAATTTTTACCGGGCGAGAAAACAGATACCATCTTTTCGTTTATATCGTAAGATAAAAGGGAATAACATTGGAAACTGTTTTTGTTTTTGTCCGAAAGTGACAGCGATAGAAACTTCGCAGTATTTCCTCCATATCTTTTTATTTTTAAAGTATATAAAAAACTCTTCAGTATTTTCTAGAGAATCGAATAGCGGATCTTTTAAAAAGAAAAATAAGTTTCTAAAAAACGTGATGAAAACGTTATAGTTACAGTACTAAGAGGCTTATTATTTCCGAGCCACCGGTTACTAGATGGTACTGATTCATTCAATCTAAAACTCCAGTTCGATTTTTGCATTATAGACGTAACCTATGATTTGACGAAAAAAGTGGATCAAGAAAACGTCAGCCGTAAAATTTTTGAGAAAGTTACGTAATAAATTCCGCGGTTACAACTAAGAGGATAATCTGGTAATAAATTAAACAGATTAAGTAGACTAGATAACATTCATCTGACATCAGATCCCTGATCAACGTCTAAAGATTCATATAGTGGAATATTTATTCTTAGTATTTATTAAAGTTTAATTTGGAGTAGCACTAAGTGAGTTGTTTCCAGGGAAAAGTTTTGAGGAGAAACTGACATGTAGTTTTCGAAAAACATTTGAAGTCAAAGTTGAGGGCTTTGAATTACCATCCATCTTCTCATGTCAAATAATTTGAAATTTGATTGATGGTAGTTAAAATAATAATCTTTTTAGCATTAAATAAAGCAAAAGTGTCAACTACATTTTGACTATAAATAAGTTTGATACTGTCTTACTTTTTTGGGTATTAGTATAAGACGCGAACATCCTCGAACATCTGCGAATACTCATAAGAAATAGTAAGAACATCAAAAACAATTTGCCAAATTCATCTCGAGACTGTTTGAGCCTAGTGGTATCATTTTTAAAACAATTTTTTATTCGGTTGAAAGTGTACCACTAGGCTCAGAACAATCTGGAGATGAATTTGGCATACTTTTTTTGAGTGCTTGTGCATTCATTGAGTGCATTCATTGAAAATGTATGCTTAAAAAGCGAAACTATAAAGGCGTTTTTAGGTGTTCGTTAGGCGGTGCTATACTCAGTTCGATGAGCTCTATCGATTGGCTAACTCAGATTTTAATGTGAAGTATTCACGTCTTTTAGTAATACCGTACTTTTTACACTATTATGTCAATTTTAAACCTTTTACTGAAAGTCCTTTTTCTTATATAATTTGTTAAAGGAATGGGTTGGATTTTCCTTAGTTATGGCCCCCGGCTTTTTCGACTTAATTTTGATCCGATTTTGTAGAGAAAATGATTTTACACATTTTTAAGTGCATATGTGTCATTATAACCTTATGGAGGCTTTTTAAATTAACTTTTCTGAGATGGTACATAAAATAGGGAAAAATGATCGCTCAGGGATGATCACTAGATAGGGGATGTTCGAAAATAAACGATTTCTCCTCAAATATTCAGTGTGTGACTATGGTCCATGTACTAATTTGTTCAGTTTTTCATTGGCTAGTTTTCTGTATCACATTTTACCGTAACTTTATATTAGATTTTGAACAGGATCGTTTTTGTTAAGTACCGATATGCTTTATGTATCTCCTTAGAAAAGTTAAGTTATACACTTAAAAATGTGTAAAAGCGTTTTCTCTACAAAATCTGATCAAAATTAAGTCGAAAAAGCAGTGGGCCAAAATCAAGGAAAATCTGGTCCCCTTCTTTATTAAGTGATCAGCCTGACACTTGTAACCTCGAAATCTATCCTGTAACAATAACTTTCTTCGCTCTGTCGAACAACCATCTCAGAATTTTTCTAAAAACTTTTATCAAGTTTTACAACTAACATTGTCTAGATTCAATTTTTTACAAATCTGACATGACTTTTTTTTTCGAAAAAAAACATAAATTTCCACACCACTCGCTGTAAATCACAAAACGGTGAGAACTTGGCTTTATGTACTGGCGACGATCTTAAAAAAGTGACAGGATATGTATGCAAACACCGTCTCATGGCTTAGCACAAAAACCTATGTATAAAAATGGATTAGTTCTGTTAAATGTTTTTTTGAAAGATGCAAAATTTTGGTCCTCAAGAGACATGATAACGAGAACCAATAAATGTTTGAGTTCTCGGCACTTTCATTGTGTTAATATAGAATCGATTTTCTGTTAATTTTAATTTCGAAGTAGACGTTTTGTGAGTGCTAATGTGATCGCATTTTTGACAACGAATGTAAAGAGAATAGTCTGCATTATATTCCCGAACGCGGCTTAAAGTTTTGTTTTACATTCTTTTCTTGTTATTCAGACTTTTTACATTGCTATGAACACTTAATAGAAATCTGACTCTGAATTTGACGAGCTAATACTTGACGTATTTGAACAATGAATGGGCTTGTCACTTCTCAAGTTTAAACGTTTGAAAATTGTTAAATATTCCAAAATGTGGAAGAAAAAAAATATATCGTCGAGCATAAACTAATGACATGGCTAGAAATTAATGGCGTAGAAAAAAAAGAAGAAAAATGTTATTTATTCATGCTAAACAACATATTAAAATTATTTCTGATGCCTTGAGTAACAGTATTCTAATTAGATGGATGTATTTTATACTATACATTTTATTACATCAACTTTTTACAATAGAACACCATTTCAATGTGTCCTTTAGTTAATTTAGACACATGCTGCCACAAAATACAACCAATTATTAGATTTAGCAGTTTTCAAAGTATACCTGGACGCGCTTGTAGTGACTAATCTGTCGGAAGAAGGAGACTTAAGAAAGTTTAACCTCATTACTAAAATGTTTTTGAATAGATCTCTACTAAATCTGTTGTAAACTACTTTAGAATTTTTTTTTTTTTGTTTTGTTTTTCATATTTTTCTTTACACGTTTAGCCTCATCTCATAATCAGAAAACTTATTTATAATTGAATCTTTGTCAACTAGAACCGTCACGAAACTTTTCTTAATGACAAAACATATGGATACAATTTTTTACTCACCATATAGAACATTTTATAAATTATGAAGAGTGTAGAATGAATTTAATTCATCAAATGCAAACAAAACAGTATTCTTTTGTACTTCGTTTCTTCTCACATATATAAACGTTCAATTAAATTTTTAGTTGTGCTATTCATAATCAGCATGGTCAAATATACAGATATTTCACTATGTTTAGAGATCATGGTACCATACCATGATATAATCGCCTTCTCTTCCATTATAAACATCTTCATCAATCTTTTCACTAAATCAATTTGCAAAAAAAAACCTTAATAAATATATGTTTTTAGAACTTCTTACAGGAGATTATAAAATGACAAATAATATGAAAACATTAAATTCCGACGACTCAACATCATCAAGTGATCAAAACCAATGTATTCTTGATAATCATGTGAAAATTAAACAAAGACATAATAGATTAATTCGTTCAATATCGAGTAATAGTCGAAAATTTAAAACATCATCTGTTAGAGATAGATCATTAAAATTTTGGGGTAGAGAATACGAGCGAAGTTTCAATGGATTTGATGAATTATCAGAGATGGCTTTAAATAATTTTGAACAACATCCAAGACATATACGATTTTTTAATCGCATTAAGAGCAGTCGAAATGAAAGTTATCATTCACTAGAAAATGATAATACATATGTAAATAATTTTGCTTTTTGGACAAGAGATGATGAACTTCGACAGCGTTTAATGAAATCAGTGTTAACCGATGAAAAAAAGAAAACAAAAACGATAATGAATTTTGATTCTGATAGTAGCGATGAAGATAATGACGCTAATCAATTACACTTATTTTCCAAATGTGAACGTGGTGGATCAAAATATCGTCGTAATGCTGTATGCAAAGTTTGGGATAGACTTGAACATAATGGACAATTAGCTTATATTGTTAATTTAGTTACCGATATTCAAATTGAAAATAATTTAAGATTATCAGGACTATACTAATGTAGATATTAGCATTAAAAGTAGGCAACAAAATTGTTAAATATATAAATGAGTAACGACTCACCGGAGGAGTGAATGAAAAGCAGTGGTTACTGATAAAAGACATACTGAACTTAGCGGATCCACAGGTAGATTTTGTCGTCATCTAATGGGCATCCGAATAGGAATAAGAATTTGATCAAACCTCTGAAATACTTTTCTTCATATATGAGTTCGCTCTTATGATGACATATTTATACCATCAATTTTTGACATCACTGTTCTTTTTTTCAAGTTTTCACTTATTTTCAGATGCTGAGCAACTACAGCTATGTTGTATTATGATAGGTATTTCATGTATTTGAAAAATCTAGAAAATGAATTGTGTTCCTGTTGAATAGTGCTTCTAATGTAAAAGATCGATATGTAATCTCATTGTATCGTTTGACTTTAATGTATTAATAGGCTATACCTATTGTTTTCAATAACTTTACTCTTCTCATATCTACTCACTATCGCAGCAAATAAAAAGAATTGCCTGTTTTTCGTCTAGATTTTCACAAAACTCCTTAATATTTCCACATTTTGGGATTTTTTATCATATAAAAAATGAATTCTGTGTCTCTCATCTAGGTTACACCGAAACATAGCTTTCGATCAGGGGAAGGTCGATTTTCTCTCCTGAAATTTTGGAAGAAAGTCGTCCTGGAAATTGATTTTCTCCCACAGAAAAAAACAACTTTTTTTACCAGCAGAAGGCTTTGATTCTTTGGTTTTTTTGCTCACCAACTTTCTTTTCTCGAAAAAATACGACTTTCTTCCTCAAAGTTTCGCGTCCCCCTTCCCTCACCTGTGAAAAACTATGAAACGAAAGCTATGCACCCAACTCAGTACTGCGTATTTAGAGTTAAGAAATCTAAATATTTAATCAGTCTTCGACGCGCGCACAGTGGGCATCTAGGCGGACATTAGGTGAAAAATCGAAGTTGCTCCTTTTTCAAAAACAAATAGTCTAGAATGTAGCCCTTAAAAAGGGCTATCGAATGGTGTATTGTCTATTGTGATGTTCACTCCTTCGCAGAGAAAAACGGGTACAAAACAGTACTGTGTTATACTACTTTTAGCGACATCTTGAGAGTTATTTGTTCATTTTACTTGCTTCGTTGTATTAAATGGCTACACAAAGCACATATTCAAAATCAGCAGAATGAGCGCTATCTATTACTACCAAAAAGTTACTAATTCCAAAAGAAATTCGATGAGAAACAGGCCCTACAAGCTGCATAGTGTCAATTACAGATGACCCGTCCTCAATATAGTCGATCCGCCACCGTTAGCCACCATGCAAAACGACTTATTTTTACACCAAATATTCTCCAGATCAAGCTGCATCATTGGTGATGTCATCTTTTTTCACTTTTTTGTTTAAGTCGAGTAATAGATTTTACAAAAACCCCTGGGATTTTGGAGGTATTTTGCAGTTTTCTACAGTATAAATGCACTTTTCTTAAAATATAATGCCATATTTGCAATCAGCATGAAAAACTGCATCGAATGGTGTATAACTCATCTAGTTTCGGTCGCTTGATTTTGAATTCTAGAAATTTCTTAGTTTTTGAGATTCACACAAACAATTTCGTGTTGAAAATTTGAATTTCAAGATAAAGTAACCTGAACGACTCGAAACATGTTCTTATAGGTATTCGACAATGTTCTTTCCAGTGGCATCGTTTTTAAATATTGAGAAAGTTCTCTGAAGGGTTTTCGAAAGATCGGATCTCTGGAAAACTCCTTAGAAAACTTTTTCAAAACCCAACTCTCATGCCACTAGAAAGAGAATCATGAAAAACCTATAAAAAAATGACTCATGAAATTTTAGTTCACTCATAAAGCTAAAGTCCGCCTGCTCTAGCAAAAAATGCCCACTGTGGATGTAGCAAGTGTTTAGTGGAAAAATCATCTCGAAAAATTTATAGTGCTGAGAAAGACCAGTTCTGTTCCACGTGGTGTAGCATTTTTTGGACTGAAAACGTGAAAGTTAAATCCATGTTTAGAATGTTTAAAACTGAATCAGAGCTGGTCATTGTCATATGCCAATCGATTTTTCGTCGTCAGGTCTGTCGAAATAGGGACGTCATAGGTCAATATTCATGCATGAGCGTTTTACACTGGTAAAACTACAGTGATGAGCGGCGCAAGTTTTTTGGACAAAATGTCATTGTCTTTTATCCCATTTAGAAGAATTTCTAACCGATCTAAAGTAGTGTTTTATAATCTACTACGAGAAAAGCTGCGTCATTTACGGTCGAAGAGCTAGCTCAGTTTATTGACAACAAATATTTTGAAATTAATGGCGTACTAAAAGACGGTTCAGGCTATATTGAATATAGCCTGAACAGACCGAATATAGTATATTCGGTCTGTCCAGAGCTGTTGTCTTGATCTGAAAGCTTGGGGCATCAGCTATTCGACGAACAAAAGCCGTCCCTATTACTTAGGCCACGAGAGAACAGACGTTATTGAGCACCGTGAGCAAATAGTTAATTATTTTCTGTCCAGAGAGAAGTTTTATTATCAAGTTTCAGAAGGGAGTAATCCAAAATGGGTAGACCCACCAGTTCCCGAACCAGTTATTCTGCTGTGTACGTAGCGCACTGGCTCTTCCCGGCATTTGTCTCTTACTGGACCGTTTTTCCTTTGTTTTTGCAGGTCACCACGAAAGTACTTTTCGTTCTAACGAGATTTCTCACAAGCGCTGGATGGCTGAGGGCCACAAAACGTTTTTTGTCAAAGGAAGAGGAAGCTCCCTTATGGTTTCTGATTTTCTCGTCGCTCATCGTCATCACCATTCTTCCGTCTGACCAATTCTGAATTTCGTGCAGCCCTTAAAAGTACCCGGAACTTTCAAACACCTCGGGAATAAACTACGAGCCAAATTCAGCTACTGCATCCATTGCAATTGATACAGATTGTTATTTTACTAACGAAGTGGTTTTAGAGCAGTTTGAAAGATTGTTCAAGTTATTGCCATTTAAAAAAGAGTTCAAGAACTGTAAATTTGAAGTTTTAGTCGACAATGCCAGCACCCACACTACGAAACTCTATTCACTGAGTGACCAGAATAATAAACATCCTAGACTCAGTTGTTTTTATCCGTCGGACGCGAAAGAAGGATGTTCAAAAGGGTTGCTAGTGATTGCTAAAGAACCTGGGTTCGATGTGAATGAGAAAACAAAACTGCCGGATTTGACAGACAAACTGTCTACACACGCCACATTTAAAACCGTGAGTGTGGACACGGACTTGTTTATTATCGCTGATTTTGCTAAATTTTTTTTGATTTTTTCCGCCTAGATCACCAAATTGGAGATTCTCACAAATTCCTATGGCATAAAACTAATTTATTTACCAAAATTCCAGTGTAGACGCATTTCAAAGTAAGCATCTCAGAGAGTCCGTGAAAATTGGTTTTTCGGTATATTCCATATGTCTCCGCTATTTTCACGTTGAAATTTTCTGTGCTTAGCCGCCGCCATCTCTTTCACTATTCTTAAATTGAGAAATACTTGTTAACAACATGTATGATTCTTTTTGTTTAGAAACAATATTTTAGAGAAGAGTTAATCGAGATTGAAGAGAAAAGAAGGCAATGTAACTTAAAATTGGTTATATTGGATAATGAACGAGTCATTGAAGAAATTTGGGTAGGTCTATTGACACCCCCGGGGTGGTAGCAGGGGGCTATTAACACTTCATCGAACTGGTAGCAAGATGCTATTGACCGTCCAGAATACATTTATACACTGCAAAAATTTGTTATTTAATAAAGACCATCATCTCCAGGTAACATGGAAGTATTCCAGTGGCTCACTCACATGTACAGCCACCTAACCCACCCGAAATCACCTCTCATAGGCCGTCAATTTCAGAACTAATTCAACATAACACTTTGAATAACACATTTATGCAGTGTGTAAGTGCATTTTGGACTGTCAATAGCTCTTACTGCCAGTTCGACGGGTTGTCAATAGCTCCGTGCTGCCACCCCGGGTGTCAATAGCCATTCCGAAGAAATTTTGGGAGCCTTATTCGATTTATATGGTACATATAGAGTCTTTTCTACATAAACATTCTAACTATATTCTGTTCGTTGTTATTGTTTTTAGATAGAAATAATAGAAAGACATTAAATTCAATGAAATTACTTGCTTTATTCAAAGAATAATTATATAAAATATTGGCTGCCGATGGTCCACAGATCGAACATAATTTACATTTCATACCAGAAGATTTAATCAAACATTGTTGTGATATAGGGTGTCCATAAAGTCCTTAGAGTTAGAAAATGTTCAATGTTTTCGTCATTCTTTACCCAAATGAGCTGATTTTTTTTCTGAATGTGGAAAGTAAATAGAAGTGTTTATTCTCCATGTGACTTTTTCCTCTGGGGATATTTGAAAGACACGGTGTTTAAACAGCCACTTACTTCCATTCAAGAACTTAAACAGAGAATCGAAGAAGCTTGTGAACAGATACCAGAAGAAATGTGCCGCAAAGTATGCCGTTCTGTTCAGCAGCACCTTCATGTCTATATGAATAATGGAGGACAATTTGTCCCAAACTAGGCTTACATATCAGTTACATTTCTGATTAAACAAATAAAAGAATATACTATAGCATCAGCATATAACTATGCGAAAAAATCTCGTTGTAAAGTTTACTTATAGCGTTAAAAAAATTGTTTGTTTCATATTCATAAATGGTCCGTTTTGTGATGGATAGACACTTCTATCCGCTTACTATACTCAGAAAAAAAATCAGCTCATTTGGGTAAAGAATGACGAAAACATTGAACATTTTCTAACTCTAAGGACTTTACGGACACCCAATACTACTTCTGAACCCGTGTGTCTGGTAATGAGTGGATTTTGTACTGGTTCTTTCTAACATTTTTGCTTTGTTTTCTCTTTTGTTCGACATAATTATCTTTAAAATTTAAACAACAAGAAATCCTCTTAGGT